ATCCACCTCATTACAAATAGCTCAGTTTCGTTTCTTTTTATGGCTGAGTAATATTCCATTGTATATATGTGCCACATCTTCTTTATCCATTCATCTGATGATGGACACTTAGGTTGCTTCCATGTCCTGGCTATTGTAAATAGAGCTGCAATGAACATTTTGGTATATGACTCTTTTTGAATTATGGTTTTCTCAGGGTATATGCCCAGTAGTGGGACTGCTGGGTCATATGGTAGTTCTCTTTGTAGTTTTTTAAGGAACCTCCATACTGTTCTCCATAGTGGCTGTACCAATTCACATTTCCACCAGCAGTGCAAGAGTGTTCCCTTTTCTCCACACCCTCTCCAGCATTTATTGTTTCTAGATTTTTTTGATGATGGATATATTCTTAAATTTAAATTACTTCAATGGAATCAGAAAGTCTGCTAATATGATTTTCTATGTTGACTCTTAGCAAACTTCGGTGATAAAATATTATCAGGAGTTAATTAAAAGAATTCTGTTCTTATCAGAAGTAGATCAAAAGAACATAGGTCTCATCTCTGGAAAGCTTATGTTAAACAATATTATGTCAATCCTATGAATCCCCTACTGATGGATGTATAAGAAAGCCAGGTGGTATGGACATATATACAGTACCAAATGTAAAACTGATAGCTAGTGGGAAGCAGCCGCATAGCACAGGGAGATCAGCTGGGTACTTTGTGACCACCTAGAGGGGTGGGATAGGGAGGGTGGGAGGGAGGGAGACGCAAGAGGGAAGAGATATGGGGATATATGTATACGTATAGCTGATTCACTTTTTAATAAAGCAGAAACTAAATGGCAAAGCAAGTATACTACAATAAAGATGTTAATAAAAAAAAAAAAAAGAAAGCCAGCACGCATGTTTTGGTTATATGTAAACCATACCACCCTTCTGAATCAGTGTAGCTTAACCTAAGCTCTGCACTGCAGATTCACTTGACATATTGTCTATTACCTGCAAGTTCCTATGCTCGGAATTATGATTTACCTATCCAACTGTGGCTCTCTACATCACTACCTATATCTATATCACTGACACTCAGATTTCACCTGTCATTAACAGCTAAATGTACTATTCTCATTCTACATTAAAACAGCAATAAAAATGATTTTTAGGAGTTTACAACCATTCCTTTTTTCAGAGGTTCTTACTGCAATATTGCCCATCACTTTATTCATGAGATGAAACATTACACATCTTCATAATGCAATTGTGCCTCCCTTGTGGGCAAACAAAGAACATAGCTTATTTATTTAGGTGTGAATGCTGAACTACAATGCCACTACATCAGGCTAATTTTTGAATTAATAACTTGAGAAACTTAAAGGATGGTACAATAGTGGAAAAAAAAGTTGGATGACTGACATTCAAGTACTTCACTCAGCTAAGCCAGTATCTCTTGGCTCTGACTCTGTCGAAGGAGTCGTTTCTGGAGGCGGCTGTGATTTGGATGTGGACTTCTTGTGGTCATTTCTAAGACTACAAATACAACTCTTGATAACTGTCACACACAATTTCCAGTCATATCCAGTTTCTGATAGATCACAAGTCGGGTAGATGTCTTGGAGAAACTCTGGTGGTAAAGTCCAAAAATATAACAGTTAATTAGAAATCACTTCTCAGAGAAATGAATTTATTCAACCTTAGTACTATTGCTATGTCTGTGAAAGGGTCATTAAGACTTTAATTAATTAAAACACATGGACTATAGCTATTATTAAATTAGCTGAACAAATCTTTTCATCAGAAAGGATAGTAATATGAAATAGCACCGTTCTTAAATCACACAAAAAACACCAAAATACCCCGTGATCTGGTTATGTAGCAAGATCTGCTCTTAGTACCCAACATAAACTTTTCTTATTCTTAAATTTATTAAACATGCATCTAGTATGTTATTCATTATATCAAATAGAGACATGCTAATAAGGTTCTAGTACACTAGAGGCTGCAATGTCTTTCATACTTTTAGAGGCAAAAAGCTATAACTGCTAAATTTTTTGGCACTGCTTGGTTTATCTCAGACAAAAGGAATGAGAGTCTTTAAATCTTGCAGTTAAATGAAAACTTCTATAACAGAGCAACATAGCTCAAGGAGCACTCAGAGAAAGTGGGAGGACAAAGGGAAAGGTGGGGAAGAGGGTGCTAACTAGAAGAGCAGAGCTACTCTTGGATACTTTCTTAGGTAATTTCCTAAGTACCTTTGAGCTCTTAGAAAAGGATCTGGCAATCACTACAGGCCAGCATTAGTTGGCTACATTAATGTCATTTGTTTTTTGATAGGATTAATTGGCTAGGAAATCAGGACAATGCCATAAACAGAGCATATATCTAAATTTTAGCAAGTCATGTGACAAAAAGCTTTCATACTCAAGGGTCCAACAGATCAGTGGTAGCCTGGAAGGAGGCTTTTAGTCATATGTCACTGGATTCAGTATCAAGCTCTATCCTGCTGTGCATTTTTATTAACAAAAAAAGAAGTTATGGAAAGCAGGCTTGCCCCATCTCCCAATGACAGCAAAGCTGGGACAGATAACTAACAGACTGGAAGACAAGTACCTGCAAAGCTTTCAACAGACTGCAACAAGGAACCTAAATTGGTTGGTGTTTCCTAAAATGTATTCTCTGAAACACTAGTCATAAAAGAAGTTTCTTAGGGGGGAAAGATTCTAGTTGTGCAAATAAGAAATGCTTAACTCCAGAGTTAGTCTCCACTGAAAAATCCCACAGTAAAGAGACATGCTGGGGACTTCCCTGGTGGTGCAGTGGTTAAGAATCTGCCTGCCAACGCAGGGGACATGGGTTTGAGCCCTGGTCCGGGAAGATCCCACATGCCATGGAGCAGCTAAGCCCGTGAGCCACAACTACTGAGCCTGCGCTCTACAGCCCGCGAGCCAAAGCTACTGAGCCCACATGCCACAACTACTGAAGCCCGCATGCCTAGAGCCAGAGCTCCGCAACAAGGGAAGCCACTGTAATGAGAAGCCCCCGCAATGAGAAGCCTGTGCACCACAACGGAGAGCAGCCCCTGCTCGCCACAACTACAGAAAGCCCACGTGCGGCAGCAAAGGCCCAACACAGCCCAAAATTAATTAATTAATTAATTATTTTAAAAATGAGAAACGTGCTGAATCAAAGGTGACAGATGCAGATTTGGTGGGGCACATAAATAAGGGAGGTGGCAACACATAAGGCAACAGAGGGTCAGGACCATGGAGATCTAGGCAGGCTGGACAGCTAAAGGCATTCAAAACATGTTTTAAGGGCTTCCCTGGTGGCGCAGTGGTTGGGACTCCGCCTGCCGATGCAGGGGACGCGGGTTCGTTCCCGGGTCCGGGAGGATCCCGCGTGCCGCGGAGCGGCTGGCCCCGTGAGCCATGGCCGCTGAGCCTGCGCGTCCGGAGCCTGTGCTCCGCGGCGGGAGAGGCCGCAGCGGTGAGAGGCCCGCGTACCGCAAAAAAAAAAAAAAAAAAAACAAAACATGTTTTAAAACAGAGTCAAATGAAGCAGATCTATGGACTGAGGCCCTTGGGGTGCCAGATCAAGATCTTTCCTAGCCATTTGACTAAAAAGCACTTTATTCAGGAAGAACCTATTAACATTCAGCTGTCTTTAAGAAACATAGTTTGGGGGATGCTGCTCTACACTAACAGGATAAAATGCAGGAGGAGTAAATATAAAATCCTACATTTACATTAAAAAAATACTAACAGTATAAACAGGAACAGCCTAAATACTAACAATAGAAGTACTGGATAGTAAAGCACTATAGACTTTAAAGAATCTTTCATTTAAAAAAGTTAATAAAATAAAATAAAAAGTATTGGATAAATGTCAGTATATAGAAAAAATGATCTAGGGGTTTAGATAACCATAAATTTTTAAATGGCAAGTGCCATTTTAGGCTGCATTAACAGCCTTGTAGGTAATAGTACTATTGCATTCTGGGTTAACTTGAGCACATATGAAGTTAGTCACTGAACGAGATCATGAAAAATTAGGACAATATTTATATGAAGAATTACCGAACAAAATGGAGATATTTAACTGTAAAAGTTTAAGACTTTGTGGGAAAAAGCTAGGAATAACACTTATTCTCCAATCCTCAAAGACTTAGTCTCTAATCCTCACACTTCCATGTAGAGGGATCTCTAAATGGGAAAGTTTAGAAGAACTGGGCATGTATGATTCAAAAATAAAGCTGATATTTTAATCTCCACCTGCCAGATTCTAGTGGCTGTCACTCACTTAGTTCTGAACTTGAAAGTGGGAGGAGAGGGTATACCTATTCTCTCCTAACGCATACAGCAGGAAGTGATAGCTGTCTTTAAATACTTGAAGTCCTATCGTGTGAAAAGTGATCAGATCCACCCAATTTAGCTCTAGAAGGAATAAGTAGGACAAATGTGCATTACTCGCAGGGAGGTAAATTTTGAGTCACTTGGAAGAAGAACTTTCTCATGAATTAGAACCCTTTTAAAATGTAGTGGACTGCCATCAACAGAAGTGTTCAAGCCAAGGGGAGGCAACTATATGCCAAAACTGAGATAGAAACTCCTGCTCTGGGTGAGAAGCTGTATTAGAGGACCTAATGTACTCCCTATTGCTAAGACTTTACAGTTCTGTTATGTTCAGAAATGGACGGGATGGAGCAGGAGTAAGGGTTGTTTGCTGATTGCAAATCTGCAACCTACTAACTTTCTCCATATGGACCATTCTTTAAAGAGACCTTAAGTGATAACTGAACTCTCAGAGAGCATCACGTAACAGTTTCTTAGGTGAAATCAATACCTTTGGCTACTGGCCATATTTACCTTTGCCTATTAATTTCCAGAAGAGTTCCCCCCAAATAATAAAATCTTAGGATAAGAAGTGATATTAGAATAGAATAATAATCTGGTTTACCAACTGCTGATACCAATCAGCAATCAGCAGTTAAAATAAATGAGTTAGATCTCAAAAACACAACGTTGGGTGATAAAAAAAAATTTAAAAAGGATATGTACTATATATTCCCATTTATGTACATTAAAACAACTACAAAACAATATTACATATCAACAGAGGTAGCAAAAGTATAAAATATGCATGGGAATGATATATCCACCTCCAAGACTGTGAGTACTTTTGGGGAGAGAGACAGGGGAAACAGATGATGGGATGGAGTTTTAATGGTATCAGTAATGATTTATTATTTAAAAAAACCTAGAGCACAAAAAGCAAAATATATCTATACTGGGTAGACAGGTGTTAATTTATTACTATATTATTTTCTATACATTTCTGCATGTTTTAAATAGTTGATACTGAACCAATACTTCTAAAGATGTTATGTTAGAACCCATAAAGCCTACTTCTCGTACTAGTGCAAGAATCTCCTCCCATCTCTGGTCATTCAGCAGTTACTCTGAGCCTTTTCATTCTCCAAATTCATCGTGTCCTCATATTAAAGTAAAATATGCTTTCTCGTCAGCTTCTCCTCCCTGGGCCTGGCTCTGCCCCCCAGGACAATGATGATTCTACTGCTTTCTCTCTGCTGAAATGACTTACATGGCTGCCCTTCTACAAAGGAGTAGAACTTTGAGTCTTATGGGAAATTTGTTAAAATATGCCCTAAGTGGATAGTATGTCAAACTCATGCTGAATATTTTTCACTACAAAAGACATCTTCTTGCTTTGTAATATAATTCATTAAGGGATAAAACAAAACAAAATACACAGAATAATATTTTTAGTCCACTTTTAAGGAACTAATCTATTCCAGACATTAAAGAACTCTCAAAGTCACCTTCTACCTCTCATTTAAAAAAATTTTTTTAAATTAGAAAGACATTTCTTCTATAAACACCTTCATTTCTAAACTGGTTACAAACTCTGTGTTCTTTTCTTATTATAAGGTAAGAGGAATTGGGTTGTGGTTTTTTGCATGGTGGTTAGTTCAGTGATGTTCAAGTTGCAAATTATGACCAATTACTAGGTCATGAAATTAGTGATAGCAGCACTTTAAAAAAAGTAATAGAAAACATTGGAATGTAATTCTGATAGGAAGAGTAAGAACTGTTTGTGAAATTTTTGCTTCAGTTTTTTAAAAATCACACACATAGTCACAATGTAAAATATATTTCTTACTATGGGTTGCAGGTAAAAAAAAAATGGAAACCATTTGGATTAGATGATAGCAAATGCTTATGAAAGGTGCTATGAGCCAGATTTCTTTAGTTTAGTGTGAAACACAAGTGTTCTTCAAATCTGATGGATGTGAAACGTGTGATATGAAGGGAGGAACCTGCCAACTGAGATTGGGCCGGGGCTCAGAACTATATCTTTACTGGGTACCAGTGACACAAGTAAGGAATATTCTGCATCCTGCTTGGTCTAAATTTAAAATTTCACAGAATTGCTTCTGGAAGCTTTATTATTTCATCTATTTATGTCGTAAATAAAGACTACACTATGCTCATGTGCACAAGGAAAAACTAGCAAATTAAACCTGCTGTGCTATTGTTGACACTTCTGCAAACTGACAAAGCCCAGCAGCTTCGACCTTGAAATGAAGGTGTTTGAGTTTCCATACATCTGGCAGTTCATACCAGGAGCCACAGTCAATAATGCCTTTCCTGTTCTAATAAAGCTGCTCAAGACAGAGCAATTAGCTCTGAGAACCCAAATGCGAAAAGAAACACATTCATGAACCTGCTGCTGTTATACCCAAATGAGGGAATTAGTAAAAGATCTCCCTCTCTTCAAAATACACATAAACTGAATGAAGTTTTCTTTCTGTCCTTCTCTAACACACTTTGCTTCCATTTATTCTCACATACTCAACATGTAACATACCTCGGAGAGCGTTAATCTTATTGGCATTAAGGGCGCACGTGCCACGCCCCAGACTGCCATAGACATTACTTTTTATCAGGACTTCCTCTGTGAACAGGTTGCGAATAAGGTATCTGGCTGACAGCTCTGGGAGAGACTTCTCTTTTGCTGTATTCAGAACTGATTTTTGCATCTGTATATTTCTACATGGATTCCCAAGATATTCTAGAAGCAAAAGAGAAAGAAGATGTCAATTTTCATGGCAAATGTTAGGTTCACGTTTTGAAAAGGCTGTAACAGAAAAGTTGACTTTTCTGAATTTTTAGGCTCAAGAATTTGAGAGGTTAAAAAAATTAAAGCTTTAAGTTTTTAGTGTATCACGAGACAGCATGAGAAATGAAACAAGAATCACTTCTGATGTAATTACACATGCCCTGATTGTTCAAGAGGACAATTCAGTATTCTGCTACCTTTTAGGATACAATCAGTTTTTAACATTACATTTGGTAACAAATTCTAAGGAGCTTTCTTAAAATTAATTTTTATTGTATCAAAAACTCTAAGTAATTTTAATGAATTGTTTTCCTACTTATAGAAAAGGCTTTTTCAAAATTAAAAACCGTGATTCTTACTAAAATATTTATAATTTTTAAAATGTAGGTTTTTTATTTGGTATTAAGCTCATTTAAAAATCAAAAAACTCATCTTAAAATATCACATTTTAGATAACTTACTTGAACTGAAAAATAAATTTTAAGCCTGTTTTTATTTCTCAACTCTACAGCCTAATCATCACCATCTCTCTTCAGTCCATAGTGATTCAAATTAACCATACTTAAAAAATATTATATTGTACATATAACAAAGACTTATGTAAGAAAATATATTAGACAAATATGATATGATTCTTACAAGTTAATAAACATATTTTTCACCTTGGAACATCCATCATTTAATGGGCAAGAGTAAATTGTTGAATCACCCAGATCCAATATTTAGTAAGAGAGATTAAATTATTTTAAAAATTCACTCAGTGGGTCCAAAGACTTAACATCTATAAGATTCATCTAGCAGTATTTATCAAGAGTCAGAAAAAAAGGTAAATACTCTTTAACCTGGTAAGTCGAATTTCTCCAAAGAAGATATACAGACTGCCAACAAACACATGAAAGAATGCTCAACATCATTAATCATTAAAGAAATGCAAATCAAAACTACAATGAGATATCATCTCACACCAGTCAGAATGGCCATCAACAAAAAATCTAGAAACAATAAATGCTGGAGAGGGTGTGGAGAAAAGGGAACACTCTTGCACTGCTGGTGGGAATGTGAATTGGTACAGCCACTATGGAGAACAGTATGGAGGTTCCTTAAAAAACTACAAATAGAACTACCATATGATCCAGCAATCCCACTACTGGGCATATACCCTGAGAAAACCATAATTCACAAAGAGTCATGTACCAAAATGTTCATTGCAGCTCTATTTACAATAGCCCGGAGATGGAAACAACCTAAGTGTCCATCATCGGATGAATGGATAAAGATGTGGCACATATATACAATGGAATATTAGCCATAAAAAGAAATGAAATTGAGCTATTTGTAATGAGGTGGATAGACCTAGAGTCTGTCATACAGAGTGAAGTAAGTCAGGAAGAGAAAGACAAATACCGTATGCTAACACATATGTATGGAATTTAAGGAAAAAAATGTCATGAATAACCTAGGGGTAAGACAGGAATAAAGACACAGACCTACTAGAGAACGGAATTGAGGATATGGGGAGGGGGAAGGGTGAGCTGTGACAAAGCCAGAGAGTGGCATGGACATATATACACTACCAAACGTAAGGTAGGTAGCTAGTGGGAAGCAGCCGCATAGCACAGGGAGATCAGCTTGGTGCTTTGTGACCGCCTGGAGGGGTGGGATAGGGAGGGTGGGAGGGAGGGAGACACAAGAGGAAGGAGATATGGGAACATATGTGTATGTATAACTGATTGACTTTGTTGTAAAGCAGAAACTAACACACTATTGTAAAGCAATTATACCCCAATAAAGATGTTTAAAAAAAAAAAGAATCCAAAATACGTACAATTCCTTTTTTCACGGTATGATTTGCATGATTGATAATCCTCTCCAAAAAAATCCTCAAACAAATGAAAAACAAAAACAACAAAAAAGCCAAAATAACAACAATAACAAAAGAGGGAGGTAGTTAAATAAATTACGTTTTACTTACTCAGTGGAATGTTATATGCCTGTTAAATGCAATGATTGTGAAGATTGGAGATTCTTAAGGAAAAACATGTTAAAAAGAAGAGTAATTATATGGAGACCATAATTCTTTAAAACATTCATAAGAAAAAAAAACTGGAAGAAAATTAAAATGTCCACAATAAGTTTTTTTTCCCCACTGAGGTGTTGGTTTTTTTTTTAATATTTATTTATTTATGTTGTGCCGGGTCTTAGTTGCAGAACGTGAAATCTTCATTGCAGCATGCAAACTCTCCCCAACCAGGGATTGAACCCGAGCCCCCTGCATTGGGAGCACAGAGTTGTACCCACTGGACCACCAGGGAAGTCCCCATAATAGTTTTTTAAGGTATCTTGATTGTGGAAACTCTTCTTCCCTCCTAAATATTTTCCAGTTTTTCAATAAAATGGCATTAATAGACTACACACAAATTGTGGGAGCTGCCTGGCTCACAATTTGCTTAGTTGCCCTGTCCCCTGATTCTAGCTGAGTCAGGGTCAGAGACCTGTGACCCAAGCTCCCCAAACTGGATTTCTTCTCCTGGGAATCAGAACAGTGACAAGAGAAAACTAGAACCTAAAAATCATGGAAGCTACAGACACAGAGCCTCAGAGACTTCAATGGACCCCAGATGCCACAGTCTCAGGGCTGCTCTGGCTCCTGCCTGTGGCTGTTTGTTCTTTGCTTCTTTTAATCTCGGATCATCCAGTGATTTTTGTTGTGGTGGTTTAATTTGAACAGAGTCTGTTTCTTTTTTTTTTTTTTTTTTTTTTTGCAGTACGCGGGCCTCTCACTGTTGTGGCCTCTCCCGTTGCGGAGCACAGGCTCCGGACGCGCAGGCTCAGCGGCCATGGCTCACGGGCCCAGCCGCTCCGCGGCACATGGGATTTTCCCAGACCGGGGCACGAACCCGTGTCCCCTGCATCGGCAGGCGGACTCTCAACCACTGCGCCACCAGGGAAACCCGAACAGAGTCTGTTTCTATGGCATATAACCTGATTAGAATGGAATATATATACTATAAAGATACATTATTTAAATAATTTTACTTGATCAGGTTCACAGGTAATATTCTACTTAGGGTTGATATGCGGGCAAGGGAGAGACAGAAAATAGTTTTGCTACCTCAGGTGCCACTAAACTCCAGCATCCTAGGGAAAGGCATTGGGAAGTGTGAGTGGCAGATGGCACAGTCACCTACGGAACCCACAGTCACTTGACACTAATGAAGCAGGATATGCCTGCAGCAGATAGCTAGCAGTGAGGGCACAACATTCTGAGGAATGGGATTCATTAGTTCATGCACAAACTCTTTATGAAGTATCTGCAATGTGCCTGGCACACAGAGAACAAGACCCCTGAATTGCTTCTGGCTCATCCAGCTGTAGCTCCTTCTCTTCTACCTGCGGAGAAAGGTTACTAACCTGAGTCAACGGAGTCGGCTGAGAACTACTTTCCAAAGGAAAAATAATAGATTTAGCTTATAGTTAAAAAACTATCAGTCTCAGAACTAGGTATCTATATTTCATTAATTCATTAATATAAAAGGTTAAGTTGTTTAGATTTCTTTTGAAAAATTTCAAATGTACATAGACGTAGAGAGAATAGTATGAGCTCCACAAATCCATCATCCACATTCAACATTTATCATTAAGAGAACTTATTTTAAAACTCACCCAGTGTTTCATAAGATACCGTTGAATTATCAGTGGAAGGTTCTTTAATTCCTTCAGGGAGAGCACTGCTGTTCTGCTGAGAATTCCCATTTTCTCTTTTTTCTGAGCCAGCTGCTTGCTGAGATAACAGGGAACTACTTTCACTGTCATCACCATCCCTTTTATCGTTCGAATCTGTATCAGGGTTGGTAGGCTCTATATTGTTGTTAACAGTTTTCTGCTGAAACACAAAATTGTATCTATAAACAAAGTCCCATAGTGGGAAAATAGGGACATGCTCCATCATCTACCAGGGCCCCCCAGGTTGGTGGGGAAGCAACTGTTTCTAATAAGGTGGGCTGAAGCCCACGAATACTGTTTGGTGTGATAAAAGATGTGTAGGTGGATTCTTCCTCCAGCTGCCATGACTCGCTGCTTCTTGGGGGACTTAGTAGCTTAGTAGCTTAGTAGCTTAGTTGGCACAAAATAAGCGCTTAATAACCATGTCATAAATAAATGAATACATGAGTTTCTCAAAGATGACAAATTTTGGAGTGTTTTTTTTTTAGTGTTTTTGTTTTCTCTTTCCCCAGTGGTCCTCAAATCTGGCTGCACATTTGAACATTTGAATTACCCTAGACATCTTGTGTTTTTTTAAAGCTGTGCTGGGGCCCCACTCACGGCAAATTCAACCAGAATCTGGTAGAGGGAGTGGGAGAGCTCAAGCATTAAAAACTTTTTTAAAAAGTGTCTCACACATTTCTAATATATACCTAGAGTTGACAACCACTGCCCTAGGTTAGGGCTTCTCAAACTTCAATGTGCACAAAAATCACCTGGGGGGCCTGGCTAAAACGCAAATTCTGCCTCAGTGAGTCTGGTGTGGAACTCAAGTCTCTGCATTTCTCACGAGCTTTCCAGTGCTGCTGCCGCTGGTCCACGGACCAACTTTGAGTAATGAGGACATATCCCTCTCCTAATCAAGGACACAGCAGGCACTTGGCAGATGCCACTTCTCTTCTGATGCCTAAGCAATATGCAAATTACCATTTCCCAGCAGTATCATGATTTTACATTCAAATGTTTAAGGTGCAATTTTTGTAGGATATAAAAGGGAATGTGAAAATAAGCAAATTTGGTTTCATAAAGATGGTGCTTGAGCTATCACTGAAATCAAGCCGTTCACCAGGAAAACATAAGCTCAGCTACAAATATTCTTGGCAAATAGTTTCCAGAAACTTACTCTAGAGACACAGGAGTGACTAGATATGGTGAGAATAAAATGGGGGCTTTAGAGAGGTGGGTGGAAATTAGGAATTGTCATTATGTTAAATGCTTCATCAGGAGAAGGCAATAGACATGACTCTCTTCCCTACTGACCCATTTGTGTTTAAAAAAAAACAAAACTCTAATGCACTCTGAAGATAGGATGGGTGAGAGAGAAGTCAGATTCCCGCTTACCATGTAACTATACAGATTATAAAATATCTCTGAAAACTTAACCTCATGACATGCATTATTTTCACCAGTTTCTGCCATCACTGAAAGTGAACGAATAATGAAGTACCTTCCTTTTCTCCTGTGCCATCCTTAACTACTATTACAACAGCTAAGTAGCACCACAGTCTGCTCTTTTATGTGTTACTCAGTGGGATCCTGAAGATTTGCCAAATATCTTTGTAGTTGAAATTTTTTCTAGTATAGCCCTTGGCTTCAAATATACTAATTATGACACTATATTTGATTTATTTTATCTTTAGGATATTTTTATGGGGCACAAAATGTCAAAGAGTGAAATAAATAGGCAGTATGCTTTTGAGAGAACACACCCTGCCCCTAAATTAAATAAACAAGATTTTGAGCACATGGACTGAAGATCCTGTACATCATGCCATCAGTTCTGGAGTTGTATACAGTATGCACTTATACAGAAGTGACCATATTTAAATGAAAAATAACTTACGGGTGTTCTTTTGGAACATAAATGGCAGATCAGAGAATTGATATCGGAAATACAGGCTTGCCAGTCTTTTCCACATTCATGTAAATCATGGTTGGGAAAAATTGCTGCCAGATGTTCTGCAAATAGCGGAAAGTATTCATAAAAATTAGGGAAAAAATTAACAAAGATACTGACAAAAAATTTTTTATTTAAAATACTGAAATTTTCTATTTTTAATTGTTATCCTTTTCTCTAACTGTTTCTAAGAGTTTAGAAATTCTACTCAAAGAGGATGCTTAGCTGAATACCTCATTTCTTCTAATGTGCAGTTCCCTAAAACACTGACCTAGGAAGCCCATAATGAGGTTTTGGTGATTTAGAAAAAAATGTATAATAAAAAGTCAACTATTTCAGGTGCTAATGCCCTTTAATAACCCTATGGATAAATTAGATCTAAAAATAGAAGGAAACCTGTGAGGAGAAAACAGTGATACTGCAAACATTATTACACCATGGTCCAGTTATTTGTGCACAAAACATGTCTATCTTCCCCACAAGCTATTTCCTCTGCCTAGAATACTCTTCCTATTTTCTTTACGTAGCTAAGGAATCCTTCCAAATCTAGCTCAAACGTCTTGTCCTTAGTAAGCCTTGCCTAATGCCCTCAAAGTAGGTGCTCTGCTCTCTGAGCTTCCACATTACCACACTGGATTGGAATTGATCTGTTTTCCTCAATGTGTCCCTTTCTAGACTGTGAACTCCTTGCGGGCAGAACTACTTATTCATTGTTGTATCCTTAGTGCCTATGACTTTTAGGACCTCCATACACATTTCTGGAAGAAAAGAAGGCAGGAGGCTAGAATGGATTAATTATGAGATGCTATTTCTGTGTTGCCAGTTACTAGGAGTGAAATGTGCTTTATTTCCCCACTTTTTTTGGCTTTTTCTTTATTTTTTAGTACCAAGTCTCAGCACTGAAGAACTGACCTAGTACTAATCATAAGCAACTATAACCAATAAAGTTTATCTTATTTCATCAGTCTATGGACAAGTTTTGTCCTTTAGAAGTTGTTACCCATTACATACTACTAAATTGTAAAGTCTGGTTTAGGTGAAAAAATGAACGGTTCTAAGATTCACACAGACTTCATCATTATTTCTTTTTTAAAAAATTTATTTATTTTATTTATTTATTTTTGGCTGCGTTAGGTCTTTGTTGCTGTGCACGGGCTTTCTCCAGTTGCGGTGACCGGGGGCTATTCTTCATTGCAGTGTGCAGGCTTCTCATTGTGGTGGCTTCCCTCATTGTGGAGAACAGGCTCTAGGTGCACGGGCTTCAGTAGTCGCGGCACGTGGGATCTTCCCAGACCGGGGATCAAACCCACGTCCCCTGCATTGGCAGGCGGATTCTCAACCACTACGCCACCAGGGAAACCCCCATCATTACTTCTTCAACTACCAATGACACTCATCAGATAACCAAATGAAAAGATTCCATAATGATTTTATATACTTTTTTTTTCCCCTTTTGGCCACTCCATGCGGCATGTGGGATCTTAGGTCCCCAACCGGGAATCCCTTGCAGTGGAAGTGCAGAGTCTTAACCACTGGACCACCAGGGAAGTCCCTACATACCTCTTATTGCAGCCATTTTGTTTGGATCCAGGGGTTGGCAGCCTTGGGAATTGACAGCTACAGAGCTGGAAATCATGATTTCCTTGGAGAACAAAATACGAACCAAGTAGCGGGCTGCGTGCTTAGGTGTGGCCTCCTTCTGTGCAGTCATCAAATGAATATCAAGCATCCTGACATTTCTTCTTGGATCACCAAGATATCCTTTAAAAATACAGGGAAAAATTAAAATCCTTGTTTTTTCATGCAAGGCTACCATGAAAGTGCCCAAGAATATTAGTTGATTTCTAATTCACAAATTTCTACTTGGGTGAATTTTTTTCTATACTTATCTCTTCTTTTCCTTAAATGAGTCTCTTTGATGCCATCTGCACAACTGTTAGCATTTTTTCACCTTTGCTAGTCTTGAATTTGCTGTACTTGAACTAATCGGTTCGTTGTCTTGAATAAATTTAATTCTGAGGCCACAAGTGCATATGTAACCATGTTGCTCTGAGATCTCATTGTTCCCTTTTACATTCTAAAAGTACACTTAGGGGGGACTTCCCTGGTGTCACAATGCAGAGGGCCTGGGTTCGATCCCTGGTCAGGGAATTATATCCCACATGCATGCCACAACTAAGCAGCCCGCGTGCCGCAACTAAGGAGCCCGCGAGCAGCAACTAAGGAGCCTGCCTACCTCAACTAAGACCCAGCACAACCAAATAAATAAATAAATATTAAATATATATGTGTGTGTGTGTGTGTGTGTGTGTGTGTGTGTGTGTACATTCAGAGCTATATTACTCTGAGTACATGTTCCCTGAAGACAATTTAGAAAATATGGGTGTATATAATTTTTTTAAAATTTCAATATTTAGCATTTATAGAGTATCTACTATATGTCAAGCACTGTGCTAAATATTTTATATCTATAAGCTCAGTTTCATTATCCTAACAACTTATTCTCACTTATCAGATGAGGAAACTGAGGCCCAGAGAAGGTGAGTTATTTGAACAAGATCACACTGCTAGTTATACAGCCAGTTTTAAAAGCTAAGTCTATCTGTTTATATGCCAAGTGCCTTGAACCATTAATCTTCTTCTAATGTTTTCCATTCTATCTTCTATATCTTTTTTTTGTTTGTTTGTTTGTTTTTGTTTTTTGTTTGTTTGTTTGTTTGTTTTTTCTGTGGTACGCGAGCCTCTCACTGCTGTGGCCTCTCCCATTGCGGAGCACAGGCTCCGGACGCAGAGGCCCAGCGGCCATGATTCACGGGCCCAGCCGCCCCTCGGCATGCGGGACCCTCCCGGACCGGGGCACGAGCCCGCGTCCCCTGCATCGGCAGGCGGACTCTCAACCACTGCGCCACCAGGGAAGCCCTATATCTTTTTTTAAAACACAAAATTGAAGCCAAACCTTATATGTAGTTTGAATCCTGCTCTTCCAATTATCATTATATTTTGCACATTTCTCCATTTTCTTTTTCCAAATCTGCATCCCTATCATCATGATTTTCCTGACAGGTGACATTTATGTTGCACTTATGTTCTGGGCATCGTGTTAAGAGCTTTAAATGAATTATCCCATTTGATCCTCACAAGTCCATAAAGTAGGTACTATATATTTGCCACATCGCAGATAAAGAAACTAATATTTAGGTCAGACAAGTGGCTGAAAGTCACATGGTTAGTAAAACATAGAACCAGCATTTAAACACAGGCAGTCTGACTCAGTAGCCGATGCTTTTAACCATTATGCTTACTGCCTCACATACTGTGGTATACCAGGAGTCATTTAACTAATTCCCTATGGTTGCTTATTTGGCTGTTTCCAATTTTTCATGTCTATAAAAAACAATTTTTGTACCACAATTTTAATACAAATCTTTTTTATTATACCTTTGGATAGAAATGGGATTACTGAGTCAACTACAATAAATACTTCTCTGGATTTTTAACAACTTACCCTCCAGAAAGTTTTCGCAAAATGATACTTCTAACAACAGCATACCACAGTGCCCATTTAACACAAAGAGGACAATTTTTGAAGTTTCTTCTAGTTTCGGTATTAAAATTATTTAAAGGAAAAGGGTCTCCTCTAGGATGTGATAAGCAAACCAGAGGCCCAGCCCAATCCCACCACAACTTCTTGTAAACAAAGTTGCATTGGGGCTTCTCTGTTCTGAATCTTGACTGTGATGGAGGATGTCATGAAATTATATAAAACTGAATACACATACACACATATTCGTATTTGGACAGCTTAAAGATGAAGGGAGGGAAGGAATGACAAGAAGGAGGTGGGTGTGGTTATAGAAAGCCAAAAGAGGGTTCCTGGAAGTGATAGAACAGTTCTGTAGCATGACTGTAGTGGTGAATACCTGAACCTAAACATGTCATAAAAGTGTGAAGAACTACATACACACACACAGACACACACACAAATGAATACAAGTAAAGCTGGAGTCATCTGAATATATCTGTGCATCATATCAATCTCAAAATCCTAATTGTGATATTTTACTATTTTTTGCAGCATACTACTATGGGGAGGTATTGGGTAAAGGGTACACAGGATCTGTCTATTTTTTCTTGCAACTACATGTGATTCTGAACATCTCAAAATGATAACTTTAATGTTGAAAACGCAGTCATTAAGAATTAATATTAAGAATGCTGATGGATGTAGGTCACAGTGTATCATAATAGGGCTCATTTCAAACTCACCAAAGCCAGCAGTGAGGAAGGAATTTTCTGAATCAGTATCTTCGTCACTGTCACTTTCCTGTACCGTTGGATAATTCATTGTCTCACAACGCATTTCTGGGCCGGATTCTGTTTGAACAACATTTTGGTAAGTAAAACACTTTCAAGTGCTGAAAGACAAGAAATCGCAACAGTAATTTTTATTTCAGGCAATACTATGCTTCAGGAATGAAGGAAAAATGAAGACATCCACAGACAAAGGAAAACTAAAAAAAAACTGTTACTCACTGACTTACCCTTAAGAACTGGCTAAAGGAAACTCATCTGACCAAAAGGATATAATGAAGGAAGGAAGCTTGGAGCATGAGGAAGGAAGAAAGAACAAAATCCACAGGGACTTCCTTGGAGGTCCAGTGGTTAAGACTCAGCGCTTCCACTGCAGGGGGCACGGATTTCATCCCTGGTCAGGGAACTAACATCCTACATGCTGTGTGGTGCAGCCAAAAGAACTTTTTTAATCATAAGAATAATAAAAAGAAAGCGCAGAAATACACATGCAAAGAAACTAGATCATTCATACATTGCTGGTGGGAATGTAAAATGGTACAGCTACACTGGAAAACAGTTTGCCAGGATTTTACAAAACTCAACTTACTATTACCATAGGACCCAGCTACTGTGCTCTTGGGTGTCAGCCCAGAGAAATGAAAACTGATGTTCATACAGAAACCTATCCATGGGCATTCATAGTATAGTAGCTTTACTCCAAACAGCCAAAAACGAGAAACAACCCAGCCATCCTTCAACTGGTGAACAGACAGAGAAGCCAGGGTACACTCATACCGTGCAGTAGTACTCAAAAATAAAAAAGGACGGATATACACAGCAACCTAGATGAGTCTCAAGGGATTAACGGTGAGTGAAAAAAGGCAGTCGCAAAAGGTTACATACTATGTGAGTCTATGTAAAACTCCTGAACTGACAAAATTATAAAGAAGCAAAAGAGATTAGTGGTTGCTGAGGGCAGGGACAGGCATGGTAGGGGTACGAGCATGAGAGGACAAGGGTGGGTGCGGCTTTAAAGGGCAAAAGGGTGAATCCTTGCGGTGATGGAAATGTTCTGAATCTTCACTGTGATGGAGGATGTCATGAAATTATGTAAAACTGAATACACATACACACACACACAAACATAAACACACACATATGCAAATCAAACTGAAGACATCTCAATAAAAATCTGTGGATTTTATCAATGTCTAAATCCTGGTTGTGATATTGTAGTGTAGTTTTGCAAGGTGTTATCTTTCGGGGAAAACGGGTAAAGTATACACACGATCTCTCTGCATTATTTTTTACAACTGCATGCCCAGCTAAAATCTTCTTAAAGTAAACCTTTAAATTTGTAATCAGGAAAAGCTACCACTAGCTCATATTAAGGGTGTTAATAAACCCAGATTAAATCGTGCTACTTGTAATATGTATCATTACAAACTCACCAAAATTGGGAGGGATGAAGAAATATGAAGTATCTTACCACTCTCATCTTCCAAGAAAGCTGGGTATTTCATCTGAGTGTTATCTTCCTCACTGCTTTCTGCTTTCGGCAATATTTCTGTAAGGAAAAGGTTTTTCAAATGCTGTGAGAAATGACTCCCACCCTCATACCTATAGCTGATGAAACTATCCTCCCGTAATGAAGCAAAAATAGATATTGACAGACAAAGGAAAATCAAAAGTATTTCTCACTAACTGACTTACACTTAAAAAATAGCTAAAAGAGGTCCTTCTCACAGAAAATCTATAATAGAATGCTGGAACATTAAGATGAGAAAGAACAATGGAAGGAACAGAAATATGGATGCGGAGAAACTAGATCACTCATACATTGCTGGCAGGAAGGGAAAATGGTACAGCTACACTGGAAAGCAGTTTGACAATTTCTTATAAAACTAAGGGTGCTGTTACCATAGGACCCAGAAATTGTAGTCTTCGGCATTCATCCAGAGAACTGCAAACTTGTGTGAAAGAGTGAACTGAAGCAAAATTTGAAACTATGAATGAATATTCATATCACCTTTACAACTTAACAGTCAAAAACAGGAAACACAGAGGTTTTCAACAGATGAACAAAAAAATAAACCCTGGTACATCCACACCATGAAATACTACTCAGCAATAAAAAAGAAGGAAAAACTGATACAACAGTGTGTATCAATCTCCAGGGAATTACACTGAGGGAAGAAGCCAGTCTCAAACACCACATGTTTCCATGCACATAACAACGCTTAAGGGACAAATAATAGTTCTGGAGAAGAGATTCATAGTTATCATGCAACAGGGCAGAGGGGGAAAATGTCAATTGGAAGGGGATGGGTGTGGTTATAAAAGAGCAATATGAGAGATCGTGGAGCTGATGGGACTGTTTCAGGGCTTGCTGTGGTAGAAGGTACGTTAACCTGCACACACGGTAAAACTGTATAGAACTAAATACGCACACATATTAATGCAAGTGAAACTGGGGACAGCTCCAAAATATCTGTGGATGATATGATCTCACTATCTTGGTTGTGATAATTTTGTATCATTCTGCAAGTTGACACCATTTTACAGTTGTAAATTCCATTGGGGAAAAGTAGGTAAAGAGGACACAGGATCTTTCTGTACTATTTATTATAACTGCTATCTTACACTAAACCACTAAACCACTATACCACTATCTTACACAAACAGACTGATGATTAGATTCAATATGCTATATGTGAAAGTATCATTTCAAACTCACCCAAACTGAGAGGAATGCAGTGACATAATGAGGAAATACCTTGGCGACTGTTCTTTTCCAATAAAAGTGGATAATTTGTTGTCTCAGGGCTCTTTTCTAGGTAGTTTGAGCTTTAAACAACATTTCTAAAATTAAAACACTTTCAACTACTAAAAGATAAGAATTCTCAACCATGAATTCTACTTTGCCTTATTTATTTTGGCCGCAACACGTGGCATGCCGGATCTTAGTACCCAGAGCAGGGAACGGACCCGTGCTCCGTGCAGAGTTAGCGCAAAGCCTTACCACAGGACCACCAGAGAAGTCGCTGAAACATGTATTCTATATCGGGCAAAACAATCCTTCAAGAATGAAGCAGATTTGGGACTTCCCTGGTGGCCCACTGATTAGGAATCCGCCTGCCAATACAGGGGACACGGGTATGAATGCTGCACTGGGAAAATGTCACATAGTGAGGAGCAACTAAGCCCATGCACCACAAGTACTGAGCCTGTGCTCCAGAGCCCACAATACACAACTACTAAGCCCTCGGGCCACAACTACTGAAGACCGGGCACCTAGAGCCCGTGTTCCGCAACGAGAAAAGCCACTGCAAGGAGAATCCCACGCACCGCAACAGAGAGTATCCCCCGCTCGCCCCAACTAGAGAAAGCCTGCACCCAGGAAGAAAGACCGAACCCAGCCAAAAATAAATCAATCAATTTATTTTAGAAAAAGGAAAAAAAGGATAATAGGGAATACTACAATGCAGTTTGCCTTCATAAGTTTGATAACTTCGAAGTAATGCAAAATACTTCCAAAATTACAAATACTAAAACTCAACGAAGATGGCATAGATAATCTAAATAGTCCGATAACCATCAAAGATATTAAATTTGCAATTAAAAAGCTCCCAAAAAGATATCTACAAACCCAGATGATTTCACTGGAGATTTTTACCAAACATTTAGAGAATTAACACTAATTTATCATTTACTCCTCCATAAAATACAAGAGGAGGAAATCCTTACTCATTTTATGAGGCTAGTATATGCTCTGATATCAAAACCACACAGAGATAACACATAAAAAAGAAAACTACACACCAGTATCTTCCATGAACTAGGACACATAAATTCTTAATCAAATATTTGCAAACCAAATCAATTACGTATTCAAAGAATTATACACCATGACCAAGTAAGATTTAACCCAGGTATGCAAGGCTGGTCCAACAATGGAAAACCTATCAATATACTCCAGCATATCAGCAGGCTAACGAACAAAAACCGTGATCATGGACATAGAAAAAACATTTGCAAAATCTCTCAGCAAGTTAGGAAGAGAGGGAAACCACCCCAACTTAATAATGATCATCCATCAAAACCAAGAGTTCACATCATATTAAGTGGTGAAAGATTGAATGCTTTCTTCCCAAGATCAGAAACAAAGCAAGGATGTCCACTCTCACCACTCTTATTCAACATAATACTACAGGGTCTAGCCACTGCAATAATGCAATAAAAAGGAACAAGAAGCATACACATTGGGCAGGAAGAAATGTAATGGTCCCCACTTGCAGCTGGCATAATGCAAGAAGGATGGCTATGTAGAAAATCCCAAGGACTTGTTCAAAAAAGACTCTTAAAACTAATAAGTGAGTTCATCCAGGTCACAGAATACAAGATCAACATTCTAAAATTAAGCTTAATTCTATATACAGCTGACCCTTGAACAACGTGAGCATTAGGGGCACTGACTCTCCACGCAGTCAAAATCCACATGTAACTTTATAAATGGTGGTCGATCTGCAGTTACCCATCTGTGGATTCAACCAACCTCGGACTCTATAGTACTATAGTATTTACTGAAAAAAATCCACATGTAAGTGGACCCACACAGTTCAAAGCTATGCTGTTCAAGGGTCAACTGTACTAACAATGACCACATGTAACCCAAATTAAAAACATAATACCATTTACATCTCCAAAAAAATAGAATACTTCAGCAAAAACTGATTTTCTTTTAATTTTTATTTTACTTTATATTACTTTACTCCTTATTTAGCTATTTTTCGTTGCGTTGGGTCTTCGCTGCTACGTGCAGGCTTTCTCTACTTGCGTCATGTGGACGCTACTCTTCGTTGCGGTGCATGGGCTTCTCATTGCTGTGGCTTCTCTTGTTGCAGAGCACGGGCCCTAGGTGCACGGGCTCAGTAGTTGAGGCACACGGGCTTAGGTGCTCCGCGGCATGTGGGATCTTCTCGAACCAGGGATCAAACCCACATCCCCTGCATTGCCAGGTGGATTCTTAACCACCGCGCCTCCAGGGAAGTACCAAGCACAAACTTATTTTTAAAAGATGTATAGGATCTATATCCTGAAAATAACAAAATGATGATTTAAAAAATCAAAGACGACCTCAATACATACATACAGACAGACATACAATGCTCATGGAGGAGAAGACTCAATATACGCAAGATGTCAGTTCTTCTCAAGTTGATCTGTGGTTTTAACACAATTCCCATCAAAATCCCAGCAATTCTGGGGGGAAACATAAACAAGCTTATTCTAAAATTAGGATGGGGGACACCTCCCAGGTGGCGCAGTGGTTAAGGCTCTGCGCTCTCAATGCAGGGGGCCTGGGTTCAATCCCTGGTCAGGGAACTGAATGCCACATACGTGCCGCAACTAAGCATTTGAGTTCGCATGCCACAACTAAGGAGCCCGCGTGCCGCAACTAAGGAGCACACCGGCCGCAACTCAGACCCAGTGCAACCAAATAAATACATATTTAAAAAGTAAATAAATAAAAATTAAAAATACAATTAGGACGGAAAGGCACAGGACCTACCATATTTGAACTGATTTTGAAAAAGCAGAAAAGTATGAGGAATCATTCTACCTGATGGCAAGGCTTACCGCATAACAACAATAATCACAAGGTTGTGGTTTGGCAGGGGGGTAGAAACATAGATCAGTGGAACAAAATAGAGATCCCAGAAATAGATCTACACAAATATGCCTAATTGGTTTTTGATTAAGGTACAAAAGCAATCCAATGGAGCAAAGATGGTACTGCGGCAACTGGAGAGCCATAGGCAAAAAAACAAAACAACCTCAACCTACATCTCACACCTTTTACAAAATTAACACAAATATGAAATGTAAACTGTAAAACCTTTAGAAAAAAACAAAGGAGAGAAAATTTGGGATCAAGAACTAAACAAAGAGTTCATAGATGGCGATGGCTAAAGTAAAATCCATAAAAGGAAAATACAGCAGGAACCTCACAAAAATTAAAAACTTTCTCTCTGCAAAACAAAACAAAACAAAACAAAAAAACCAGTAGACAGGATGAAAAGGAAACCTGCAGAAAGGAAGAACATATTTGTAAACCACATATCCAACAAAAGACCAGTATCCACAAATATCTAAACAACTCCCAAAACTCAGCATTAAAAAAAAAGAAAACAAATTATAAGACAGAACAGATATTTCAGAGAAAGAACATATAGATGGAAAATTAGCACATGTAAAGATGTTGTATATCACTATCCAAAGGCAAATGCATATTAAACCCACAATGAAATATTATTACACTATACACCTACCAGAAGGGATAAAATTTTAAAAATAGTGAAAATACCAAATGCTGGTGAGGAAGCAGAGAAAATGAATCACTTATACATTGCTGCTGGGAATCTAAAATCACTCATTCTGAAAATAGCTTGCCCGTTTCTTATAAAACTAAATAGGCAATAATCATACTACCCTGCAACTGTGCTCTTGCGCCTTTATCACAGGGAAATGAAAACTGCGTTCAGACAGAAACCTACACATGAATGTTCACAGAAACTTTACTCCTCATAGCTAAAGACTGGAAACAACCCAGATGTCCTTCACGAGGTGAACAGATAAACAAATCATGGTTGTGCTCAGCAATAAAAGGGAAGGAACTACTGATACATGCAGCAACTTGGATGAATCTCCAGGGAATTATGCTAAGTGAGAAAAAGGCAATCCTTAAATATTAACTACTATATGACTCCATTAATAGAACATTGTCCTGCAATGACAAAATTATAACGAGGGAGAACACATTAGTATTTGGATGGCTTAAAGATGAAGGCAGGGAAGGAATGACAAGAAGGAGGTCGGTGTGGTTATAAAAAGCCAAAGGAGGGATCCTGGAAGTGATACAACAGTTCTGTAGCATGACTGTAGTGGTGAATACCTGAACCTAAACACGTCATAAAAGTGCGGAGAACTACATGCACACACACAGACACACACACAAACGAACACAAGTAAAGCTCGGGACATCTGAACAGATCTGTGGATCATATCAATGTCAAAATCCTAGTTGTGATATTTTACTATCTTTTTGCAGAATACTACTATTGGGAAGTATTGGGTAAAGGGTACACAGGATCTGTCTATTTTTTCTTGCAACTACATGTGATTCTGAAATATCTCAAAATGAAAAGTTTAATGTTGAAAACGCAGTCACTAAGAATTAATATTAAGAATGCTGATGGATCTAGGTTAGAGTGTATCATAATAGGGATCACTTCAAACTCACCAGAACAAGCAGTGTGGAAGGAATTTTCTGAATCAGTATCTTCGTCACTGTCACCTTCCTGTACCGTTGGATAATTCATTGTCTCACAACGCATTTCTGTGCCGGATTCTGTTTGAACAACATTTTGGTAAGTAAAACATTTTCAAGTGCTGAAAGACAAGAAATCTCAACAGTAATTCTTACTTGAGGCAAAACTACCCTTCAGGAATGAAGGAAAAATGAAGACAACCACAGACAAAGGAAAACTAAAAAAAAACTGTTACTCACTGACTTACCCTTAAGAACTGGCTAAAGGAAACTCATCTGACCAAAAGGATAAAATGAAGGAAGGAAGCTTGGAGCATGAGGAAGGAAGAAAGAACAAAATCCACAGGGACTTCCTTGGAGGTCCAGTGGTTAAGACTCAGTGCTTCCACTGCAGGGGGCCCGGATTTCATCCCTGGTCAGGGAACTAACATCCTACATGCTGCGTGGTGCAGCCAAAAGAACTTTTTTAATCATAAGAATAATAAAAACAAAGCAGAAATACACATGCAAAGAAACTACATCATTCATACATTGCTGGTGGGAATGTAAAATGGTACAGCTACACTGGAAAACAGTTTGCCAGGATTTTACAAAACTCAATTTACTATTACCATAGGACCCAGCTACTGTGCTCTTGGGTCTCAGCCCAGAGAAATGAAAACTGATGTTCATACAGAAACCTATCCATGGGCATTCATAGTATAGTAGCTTTACTCCAAACAGCCAAAAACGAGAAACAACCCAGCCATCCTTCAACTGGTGAACAGACAGAGAAGCCAGGGTACACTCATACCGTGCAGTAGTACTCAAAAATAAAAAAGGACGGATATACACAGCAACCTAGATGAGTCTCCAGGGAATTACGGTGAGTGAAAAAAGGCAGTCGCAAAAGGTTACATACTATGTGAGTCTATGTAAAACTCCTGAACTGACAAAATTATAAAGAAGCAAAAGAGATTAGTGGTTGCTGAGGGCAGGGACAGGCATGGTAGGGGTATGAGCATGAGAGGACACGGGTGGGTGCGGTTTTAAAGGGCAAAAGGAAGAAGCCTTGTGGTGACGGAAATGTTCTGAATCTTCACTGTGATGGAGGATGTCATGAAATTTATATAAAACTGAATACACATACACACACACACAAACATAAACACACACATATGCAAATCAAACTGAAGACATCTCAATAAAAATCTGTGGATTTTATCAATGTCTAAATCCTGGTTGTGATATTGTAGTGTAGTTTTGCAAGGTGTTATCTTTCGGGGAAAACGGGTAAAGTATACACACGATCTCTCTGCATTATTTTTTACAACTGCATGCCCAGCTAAAATCTTCTTAAAGTAAACCTTTAAATTTGTAATCAGGAAAAGCTACCACTAGCTCATATTAAGGGTGTTAATAAACCTAGATTAAATCGTGCTACTTATAATATGTATCATTACAAACTCACCAAAATTGGGAGGGATGAAGAAATATGAAGTATCTTACCACTCTCATCTTTCAAGAAAATACAAGAGGAGGAAATCCTTACTCATTTTATGAGGCTAGTATGCTCTGATACCAAAACCACACAGAGATATAACACACAAAAACGACAACTACACACCAATATCTCCATGAACTTGTACAAATATATTCTTAATCAAATAATTTAAAACCAAATCAACTCTGTATTTAAAGAATTATACACCATGACCAAGTAGGATATAACTGAGGTATGCAAGGCTCCTCCAACAATGGAAAACCGATCAATATACTCCATCATACCAGCAGGCTAACGAACAAGAACCATGTGATCATGGACATAGAAAAAACACTTGGAAAAAACTCTCAGCAAGTTAGGAAAAGAGGGAAACGACCCCAAGTTAATAATGATCATCCATCAAAACCAAGAGTTCACATCATATTAAGTGGTGAAAGATTGAATGCTTTCTTCCCAAGATCAGAAACAAAGCAAGGATGTCCACTCTCACCACTCTTATTCAACATAGTAATACAGGTTTTAGCCATGGCAATAATGCAAGAAAAAGGAACAAAAAGCATACACATTGGGCAAGAAGAAATGTAATGGTCCCCACTTGCAAGTGGCATAATACAAGAAGGATGGTTACGTAGAAAATCCCAGGGAATTGCTGAAAAAAGACTCTTAAAACTAATAAGTGAGTTCGTCCAGATCACAGAATACAAGATCAACATTCTAAAATTAAGCTTAATTCTATATACAGTTGACCCTTGAACGATGTGAGCATTAGGAGCACCAACTCTCCACGCAGTCAAAACCCACATGTAACTATATAAATGGCGGTCATATCTGCAGTTACCCCTCTGTGGATTCAACCAACCTCGGACTCTACAGTACTATAGTATTTACTGAAAAAAATCCACATGTAAGTGGACCCACACAGTTCAAAGCCATGTTGTTCAAGGGTCAACTGTACTAACAATCATCACGTGTAACCCAAATTAAAAACATAATACCATGTACATCTCCACAAAAATAGAATACTTCAGCAAAAACTGATTTTCCTTTCATTTTTATTTTACTTTATATTATTTTACTTCTTATTTATTTATTTTGGGTTGTGCTGGGTCTTCGCTGCTATGCGCGGTCTTTCTCTACTTTCATCAAGCAGATGCTACTCTTCGTTGCGGTGCGCAGGCTTCTCATTGCTGTGGCTTCTCTTGTTGCAGAGCATGGGCTCTATGTGCATGGGCTCAGTAGTTGAGAAACAGGGGCTTAGTTGCTCTGCAGCATGTGTGGCCGTCCCGGACCAGGGATCGAACACGCATCCCCTGCATTGGCAGGTGGATGCGCACTGCGCACAAGGGAAGTGCCATGTACAAACTTATTTTTAAAAGATGTATAGGATCTATATCCTGAAAATAACAAAATGATTATTTAAAAAAACAAAGAAGACCTCAATACATACAGACAGACATACAATGCTCATGGAGGAGAAGACTCAATATATGCAAGATGTCAGTTCTACGCAAGTTGATCTGTAGTTTTAACACAATTCCCATCAACATCCCAGCAATTCTGGGGAGAAACATAAAGAAGCTCACTCTAAAATTAGGATGGGGGACATTTCCCTGGTGGCGCAGTGGTTGACGCTCCGTGCTCCCAATTCAGGGGGCCCGGATGCACTCCTAGGTCAGGGAACTAGATCCCACATGCATACGGCAATGAAGCGTTTGAGTTCGCATTCCACAACTAAGGAGCCCCCATGCCGCAACTAAGGAGCCCCCATGCCGCAACTAAGGAGCACAGCTGCAGCAACTCAGACCCAGTGCAAAAAAATAAATACATATTTTAAAAATTAAAAAATTAAAATTAAAATTAAATTAAGATGCAAAGACACAGGACATACCATATCTAAAATGATTTTGAAAAGAAGAAGAGTAGCAGGAAAGATTCTACCTCATGGCAAGGCTTACTATATAACAACAATAATCACAAGCTTGTGGTTTGGCAGGGGGATATAAACGTAGATCAGTGGAACGCAATAGACATCCCAGAAATATATCTACACAAATATGCCTAATTGGTTCTTAATTAAGGTACAAAAGCAATTCAATGGAGCAAAGATGGTACTGCAGCAACTGGATAGGCATAGGCAAAAAAAAAAAAAAAAAAAAAAAAAGAAACTGAACCTACATCTCACACCTTATACAAAATTAACGCAAATGTGAAATGTAAACTAAAAAACGTTTAGGAATAAACAAAGGAGAAAAAATTTGGGATCAAGAACCAAATAGCTACAGTAAAATCCGCAAAAGGAAAATACAACGAAAACCGCACAAAAATTAAAACCTTTCTCTCTACAAAACAACAACAAAAAACCTGTAGACAGGATGAAAAGGAAAACTGCAGAAAGGAAAAAAATATTTGCAAACCGCATATCCAACAGAAGACCAGTATCCACAAGTATCTAACGAACTCCCAAAACTCAGCAGTAAAAAAAGAAAACAAATTATAAGACAGAACAGATATTTCAGAATAAAAACACAGAGATATAAAATTAGCACATGTAAAGATGTTGTATATCACTATCCAAAGGCAAATGCCTATTAAACCCACAATGAAATATTATTACACTATACACCTACCAGAAGGGATAAAATTTTAAAAATAGTGAAAACACCAAATGCTGGCGAGGACACAGAGAAAATGAATCACTTATACATTGCTGCTGGGAATCTAAAATCACTCATTCTGAAAATAGCTTGCCCGTTTCTTATAAAACTAAACAGGCAATTATCATACTACCCAGCAACTGTGCTCTTGGGCCTTTATCACAGGGAAATGAAAACTGCGTTCAGATGAAAACCTGCACATGAATGTTCACAGAAACTTTATTCCTAATAGCTAAAGACTGGAAACAACCCAGATGTCCTTCACAAGGTGAACAGATAAACAAATCATGGTTGTGCTAAGCAATAAAAAGGAAGGAACTACTGATACATGCAGCAACTTGGATGAATCTCTAGGGAATTATGCTGAGTTAGAAAAAGGCAACCCTTAAATATTAACTACTATATGACTCCATTAATAGAACATTGTCCTGCAATGACAAAATTATAACAAGGGAGAACACATTAGTATTTGGATGGCTTAAAGATGAAGGCAGGGAAGGAATGACAAGAAGGAGGTCGGTGTGGTTATAAAAAGCCAAAGGAGGGATCCTGGAAGTGACAGAACAGTTCTGTAGCATGACTGTAGTGGTGAATACCTGAACCTAAACACGTCATAAAAGTGCGGAGAACTACATGCACACACACAGACACACACACAAACGAACACAAGTAAAGTTCGGGACATCTGAACAGATCTGTGGATCATATCAATGTCAAAATCCTAGTTGTGATATTTTACTATCTTTTTGCAGAATACTACTATTGGGAAGTATTGGGTAAAGGGTACACAGGATCTGTCTATTTTTTCTTGCAACTACATGTGATTCTGAAATATCTCAAAATGAAAAGTTTAATGTTGAAAACGCAGTCACTAAGAATTAATATTAAGAATGCTGATGGATCTAGGTTAGAGTG